CGGAGACACACACGCGGCCGCCGACCGTCGATCAGACCGCGAGGGTCGATCCACCGACCCAGTCTGAGGTGTCAACGGAATCGAGCGAGCCAATAGACGGCGAATTGTCCGAGGGCGAATCACCCGCGACCGTTACATTGCGACGCAGCGTACGTGAGCGACGGGAACCAGACAGATATGGTATTGTTGTGACGGGGGATGTACTTGATGAGTGGAGTGAATGACATGATGCGGTTGTAAACGCCGGAAGCGTTTATTGTCTCCATTTGGTTTTCGTTTATATTCTCCTGTCCTTTCCTGTCCCATTGTGAGCACATCGACCCGTCTTGTTGAGCGAGCTGTACAGGGTGTCTCAAAAGTTCGTTCACAGGTACCAGCCATGCTTTTTTGTCAATAATTCTGAATCAACAATAAATTAACAGTCGAAATTTTGCATGGCATTGGTGACAACCTTCCTCAAGCAGTCTCATTGTTTTCAAGTGCATTCGACCCTTCATGAGCTCACAAAAAGGGTTCACCTCTGACCATGGGTCAGGCACGAAAATGTAGGTTGCAAAGTCGGGTATGTTGTGAAACTCTCTGTTTCAGGAGTAATGGGAATGGTTAAGTCGGAAATGACACATGGCTAAGTGTCGGCGAGGATGAGTGCAACATGATGATCATTTCATAAAAACGGTGGCTAAAATTTTTGAAGGACGAAACCATGCGAGACTAACGGCGTTTTGAACGACCCTCGCACGACAGCAGACTCGTGTTCCGGAAAGCAGCTGAAAATGCGGTCATAACTATTGAAAACTGGCAAGAAGGTCACAGACAGAGGTTACCCATTTTCAAAAAGTGCAGGTCATCGTAAAATAAAGACAAATTATAATTTAAAATTGTTTATAATATCTATAACGCTAATTTTTGGGGACAATAACACAAAAATCGTCAATGCCAAGGACACCTGACCCTCCAAAAGTGTCAGTTATTGTAAAATTTTATCTAACGAAGTTTCAAGAGACAGATCTGCAGCGAATAATTTTCTTTTAAACACAAAGTCCCGATAAAACCACACGATGGACAGGTTTGGGCCGTTTACAAAGCAGAACATCTCCCGAGGAATACACTCCGCAACCGAGCGAAGGTCTTGGCATGGGGAATGACGAGCGCTTGGAATTTGCAAAATTTGCACAATGTGTCTGAGAAACAGACGTCCGACACATTCTGCTACCATATGATGCGAAAAATTTACTCCTGGCGCTTCCCGTTTGTTCAGGACTGGGGTCGTTTTGAAAAGGAAAATGGCGTTTGGGATGTCGGCGCCAGTCATTCATGAAGGAGTTAGCGCCAGAGAATGCCTACAAAATACTCAAGAATGGTGTCGATGCAAGCTGTCGGCTTTCAGGGAAAATCAGATGTTGCCGGGGAGCTAGTCAAAACTAAATTCGACGCAGAAACTGCAGGGGATTCCCCTGCAAGAGCTTGAAAGCTGGTACCCTTTTATCAGCCTCCGGCAGCTGACAGAGCAACAAAAATCGGTATGTGCAAATATTTTTGGAGATACACCAAAGGGGTTGGTTTCCAACCTTCTTAATCAGTTGTCAAAGCATGCATATTTGTCTAGTGTACACACAGACACCAAAACCTTATACTTTTGGCCGGTTCTTATATGCTTTATTGGCATGGGAAATGTGTGAACGAACTTTTGAGACACCCTGTAGGAAACGGAGAGCCAGTAGAGGGCTCTGCTGTCTGGTTGCAGCCAGAGGTAGGGGGCAGCACGGAGCACGGGTTGAGACGAATTGGTGCTGATTGGTACTTGTGTAACGTCAATGTGGATGGGAACAAGGCAGTGTATGATGGGAATGTGGAATTGCGTCGTAGGTGGAAAATGTTGGTGAGTGTTATCGTCTCTAGCAATAAAGAGACGCTCGATTGTCCTATCAATATGTTCATTGTGCTGCTTGTTACATTGTGCTGCTTGTTTCATTGTGCTGCTAGTTACAAAGTGGATCTGAGAAATGCGCCGAATTGTGCCCATTTTTGCGTATGTGTTTCATCGCGAGTATTCTGCAGGATTGTAGTGCAGCACTGAATTAAGTTTGTCTGTTATAAGGCCAGAAATATTCTCTCAGTGTTCAGGCCATTTAAAGGGACCCTCCCACCTTCAAAAAAGTTAATGAATTGGCATGAAAGTGATGTCGCTCGGTTCAGAAAGAGTGAAAACGAATATCTACCAAATTTCATCGAAAAATATTCACCGCTTTTCAAGATATTAGGCTTTTACTTTTGTTTACTTTTTGGGATCTCCGCTGTTCCTAGCGACTTTATTTGAAAGTGCGGCATTTGTTGCGCGCAAAGCAGCATATACCACCCCGTGCTACAAAACGTTTTAGTCAAACATTTAACGGTCGTTCGAAAGCCTGATGACGTCATCAGATTCCCGTAATGGTTAAGAGATAGGGACCACGCTGGTCCCACCCTGCAAGTAAAGGGAAGAAATTTCTTGAACACCATAAAGCTGCGGGGGTTGCGACCAGGATAAATGGTGGTTTCTGAGCCTGGCCGCAAACTTGGCTATCTCAACTCAAAACTAATGTTAAGGTGGGAGGGTCCCTTTAAGGCGATTTGATTGCAGTGGGAGAGCGACACTCGTACGACCTTGACCTTGGCCGCGCCATATTCGTCTTGAGTTCTGTGTTTGGCCCCCCATTGCCCTGTTTGTCTTTCGTTTCTGCTTTATTAATTTTGATGTACCCTTTCAGAAACCTTGCTTACTTGCTTACTTTGACTTGCTTGGATGCTTGTGAAGCTGGGGTCACAATACAGAGGCCAGCTATCAAGTTGCACGAGTTTTGCACCACCAGACTGCAGAGTTTTGGAGACGCCTGGAGGCGACAGTGGTTCTTTAGAACCAGGGGGTGATGTAGCATGATGAACGCAATGAGGAATGTGAGTAGCGATGAGTCAGGCGCGCGGCGAGACTGAGCTGCGGGACGTGACCCGGTGACCCAGTGTGAGTCATCTGCCGCCGCCGCCGCCGGGCGTCGGGGCGGCCGGGTTACGCCCGGCAAAAACACGTGTGTCTTGATTTTTTACCTTTGCGGAGCCGGACGTCATTCTTTTTTTTTGCATCTCCAGTTTACGCCACGTTTTCCGGCTTGGCTGGCACCGTAGCCATTAGCTGGACCGGTACCCTTTCCCCAGGCTGGATCGGTGCCCCATACCCCAGTTGGGCCTTCATCGTCCCCAGGCTAGGTCGGTACCCCTTCCCCCAGTGCACAGTGGGGATTTTTCCGATCTAGCACGTATTTATTCGTAGAGGGCAAACCATAGGTAGAATTGTAGCCAGATTGTGCATAGATGTTGGCTGGTGTGTCCTGGTGAGAATTTTACCTGTAAATGTGCATAATCAACATAGTATAGGGGGTTCAATTGGACCCCCCGCTCAGCCGTTTGGCCCCTGATCAAGCTAGAGCTTCGCGGAAAAGTCAAGCGTGCTGCCTATGACGAAATTAGGCCGAATATATCCAATTTCAAAGTCCAAGGTCATAAGCTGACCTTCCAAGTCAGTTTAATGACCCAACTAAAGTTGGGAAATCGAGACATCTTGAAACTTCGCAAAGTTAGGGTGTTACGGGGTATTTTGGGGTGCTGATCACGAATTTTATGTTAGTTTTGATCACAGACGATATCTTTATGCATTTAGGCCAGGTCGGGTCAGGTCAGGTAGGTTAATTAGTAGGCGTCCTGCCGGCCATTCATAGAAGTGTCACCTACTACTGATAGCTTCGTAACATGGACCGAAGGCACTAGAACTACTTCGTAAATATTCAAATGGCTGCTAAAATCGAAATCAGCACCAAAAACTACCTAGAAACAAGTAAAACTCGAAAAAGTGAACCAAGGTCACCAAAAGGTCAATGACCTTGACTTGACCTTCACGTGACCTTGACACCCACCATTATGCATGGCACCAACATCATTTCACATATTTGAACGTTTAAAACCACAAAAAGACTGGAAACCGCGGATAATGTGAGCTGGCATACGCCGAATCGCGATTCCGGCCAAACATGGTCTCGAAAAATATGCCACAGGTCAAAGGTCAGTTGGGTCAGAGTCATGAAATTTTAGGTTAGATGTAAAATTGATGATCTCGAGGGTACCGAAAGTTTCGGCGCGATCGGCCGCTTTTTGCGCGAGTAATTTGCGGAAAACCATGGGGTTTTCTCCGACCCCTTCCCCCTCCCCCTCCCCACAAGTGCGATGGTTAATAAGGTTACGGTACGTATAATTTACGCTTGTCATCCTATTCCTAATGAATGTGTCTCAGAAAATATGCATCATATAAATCACTAAGTAAAATTATTCTCCTATGTCCGGAACATACCTATATCGTGCTGTTTGCCCTAGCGCTCCTCGAGTGGGGTGTTAAGATACTCTAATGTGAATATTCCGTGTTCAGGCAAGTTTCGGCAGCCAAACTATGCGTTGTCTTGTGCAGAAGAAAGTGGCGAATTCGATAGGATATATTTCGGAGTGGAAAAGTGTGGAGAACATTGTTGATTTCCTACATTTATTTAGAATACCATTCCTCCAATATGGTGTCTGTAAGGGTTTTTGTAAAGGGTATTTTTGTGACCTTAGTAAGGTTGTGGCATACTTTGTTTGCCATTCCATTCCTAATAAAGGTGCCTTTCAGACGATATGCAACTTTAAGACCTCGCAAGATTAAAACCAACAGGACAGGACAATGAAATTGAGCTATACTTTCGGGCCTTGCTGAGCCCATTGAGTAATCACGCTTGAGTGTGAACTTTGGGCGCATTTTTCCTAGTTTTGCTGTGGACATACAGATAAAACAATGCCATATATGAAAAATTCAGACATTTCTTAGCCCTACTGACACAAAAAATAAACAAAAATCCAAAAAATATTTTTTGAATTAATAGGCGATAGATCGGAAAAATCCCCACTGTGCAGTGGGACCAGTATCTCGTCCCCGTCACTGTTTATATGTAGGCCTATGTATTTAGATGTGCATTATGTGTGCTCACCCGAATGGTCAAAGATTGCTTAACTTTATCTTTTCCGTTTTTCAGACTTATCAGAAATGCAAGCAGGTGCGTAAGAAGTGGACGTCAACAGAAAAGATCGGCCAAGTTTCAGTTATGGACACTGTGTGGGCTTCCGCGGTGGCCTTTAGCGGGTGTCACGAGACGAAAGTGGACAGACTGCTGCAGTTCGCAAACATGGGAAGGCTCAGTCATACCACTTTCTACAGAATAACCAACAAAGTTGTTCAACCAGTGGTACGGGACACCTATGAGGCAACGCTGAGAGCTAACAGGGAGGCGGCCACGGATGCTTCACCTGATGGTCTCATCATTGCCGGTTAGTAGCATCTCTGTTCTGTTTTGTAGTGCTTTCAACTAAACCAAGTATCTTTTTTTAATTGAAGAACATGATTGGTCGGTTATTTCCATCTCCTCTTTATTACTGCACCCAATGAAACCATGTTCTTTTATTTAAAATTTAAAACACCATGTGTGTTCCTTTTTATAAGATGATGAGCAATCATGAAGGCAAAATAAATCTGTCCGTTAGTTTATGTCCAATTCGCGTTTTTATTCTTCATTTTCGGGTCTTACAAATATATATTTCTACAATTGTATTGCATTGCATACAAGTAGCATGTGGACTTACATGCAACATGTTATTTATTTGTATGAGTAATAATTGTCAACTCGAGTACATCATTTCTCCAGATACTATCACCTTACCACAGTCAATCTAGGTTGATTTTCAGTTCTATTAGGCGGCAAAAAAAAAAAAACAGCAACGGGTCATTACAAACCAATCGTTGATTACAATTCAGGAATAGTTTGTATGTAGTAGTTTGCCGATGGCCCTTGATTAATTTTGCTGTGAACAAAGGATAACGGGAATTATCTTTCCTCAGGTGATTGTTAAAACGACAGCCCTGGGTTTTCAGCATCGTACGGCACCTATACGATTATGGACAACACTACCGGCAACATCATCGCGCAGGTACACACTTGACAGCGTCACTAATGCTCATGTTAACCCAATCTTAAACATGGCGGATAGCGGTCAGAAATAGGGCGTAACAACATCAGGAGCTCCGAGGTTATTTTAGAAAACACGTAAGGCAAGACAAAACGTGCTTGACAACGGTGAACTTGACCTCCAGCGCCTGAACGGTTGATCTGAGGTCAACTTTGACAACTTGAAACGGATGGTCTGTGCCGGGTTAGCCCATTGATAAAACATTTCTATATGCCTATTTGCCTATAGGCATATTCAATATATATGACTATGCATGAGACGTGCGTTCATCTTGCTCACAGAACACAGTCTGTCATCAAGAGGCGGGGTTTTCAAGCCCCAAACTGGAGACCGAAGGTTTGTCGCGATGCCTCGACGACATCGAGTTTCTTCCCATTAAGGAGTTCGTTGCTGATCAGCATCTTGGTGTCAAGAAGGTTGTGAGTAAGTAAAGTATGTTTGTTGGCGTATTTCAGTCATCAGGGTGTATATGAATGACATTTCGGCAAATTCAGGCATTATGGACTACTGCTAGAGCAAGATTACTTTACTAATCAGGTTGGTTCACTAGGGAAATAAAGGCGCCGTGGTGACGTCACGGATTTGGTAGCAATCTGGTAGCAATTTTTGCAGACATCAATGGCGCACGTGTTGTTTGATCGTCGCCAATACTATTTTACTGCACTATTTTGTTATTTCACTGCAATGTATTGTACATTACATTTGAAAATTAAAATAAAGAGATATTCGTAACCCAGCAAGTCAGTTATTCTTTGAGGCAGCACTCTGTCAGCATTGAGCCTTCAGAATGTGTTATTTGATAGACTTTCCAACATTTTCTACTCTTGTGGAAAACTTTCTTAGTCATCAAAAATGTATGCACATATGAATAATTAGAACTTCATTTTCAAAGTTTTATAGAAATAAGATTTCACATTACATTATCATAAGGCTACCTGTCCATTTCGTCCAACCAATTAAATATTCATCCAGCAGAAGGCAGGTACCTCTGAGAAGGCACTGATATCTCTTATCTACTGTACACCAATATTTCAGGAAAATGACAGAGACTGAGAAGCTATTAAAACTTCAGCGTATGAAAGGGATGTTATGGCTTATGCACATTGAAAAACATCAGATAATGCTTTTGAACCATCTCATTCACCAGCACACATCAATCCGGCTCCTGGCTTCTGTCAAGGAAACATTCCAAAATAATGCATTATTTTATTTCATTGACCACCTTGCAAAAGACAAACAGCAAACAAATCACCACCAAAAACAAAAATAGTCAACAGGTAGGTACCAGCTGATCTAGCCGTGCTGTGTCATGTGCCTTTGAAAAACTTGAGCAGTCAAGGTTGAATAAACACCCCAAACTTAGCCATTCATGCATGAACAAGTGCAAATTCTGGTCGAGCATTTAAATAAAAATGAAACTAACAGCATTGTAGGTTACAATTATAAAAAAGACAATTACAAAAAAAACAGCAGAGCTTACTCTACAAGGCATAACCATTAATTTTATAACTGACATCCTAATTCGCATCTCCGAAGTTTAACCCACCTACCAGCCACCTGCACATTTCTGCGCACATGTGCTGCGCAGTGTGCACAGTCACTACACATTACACAATTATGAGAATTAAAATAGTTTTAAACAATCAAGCAAGTCAGGACTGGTATGCAGATTCACAAGTTCTCTCAACATCTTCAATTACCAACAATCAAGAGCACCTTGTGATCTCAGTAACTCCGCAGATCCATCTTCTGTTTTCCATTTTTAGTTTTTAATTGAAATGTAAGTTCCATCTGGGAGACACATGTTGCATCATTATGTTTAAACAATTATTATGCTTGAACTTTTGATTTTTCATGTGAACTTCACTTCAAAAGTTGATTCAATTTTTGAAGTTGATATAGGTAATTTGTATAATGCTACGATCACGGCGCACCAAATCACAGATAACTTGAAAATAACCAAGCAAAAGCCAAATTAGAAGAGTCAGACATTTCGTTTTTTCTCACAGACAATGACAATAGGTACAAAAACCGATTAGGAGAGCCATGGAAGCTGCATATATTTTACTTGAAGACACCGTTAACATAAAGCCAGGCTTCTACAGCTGGTCCAGGATTGGGATAGGTGCGAAAATGGTGCTAAAAAACAAATAGCTATATCTATACATAGGAGTGTCTCTGTTATAATGTGTCAATGTGTCGATTCCAATGCTGTGATTATGACTTACAGAATAGTTTAGACAGAAGAACGATATAACATGTTAGTGCGAGATTAGATATAACCTGTATTTCAAAAAAGTAAAACTGTATTTCGTGCAGGCTGGTCGTCTTCTATATTTTTTATCGATGTAAAGCCTATATCTTGTTTTTCCACTGACGAAGGCACTTTGTTGTCGAAACGTCTGGTCTTATTACATTGTTTTTGTACCTATTGTCATTGTCTGTGAGAAAAAACGAAAAGCCAAATTCTTCAGCAAACTATGAGAGCTATCTGATCCATGCTGCGTTGAAATAATTGAAAATCGCCTAAATCAGTCGAAATATGACAATTAAATTAATATAAACTACACAAAACTCTGATTTGTGAGGCAATGCGCAACAGAAATGCGAGGGAATATGGTAGTAATCTGGTAGCAATTATGAAGGATTTCCCCTGTAGCTGATAAAAATCACAAGAAACAATTTTTTTAACGCAGAGGAAATCCTTCATTATGAGTTGCAAGGACCATTTGATAGGCCCATTTTAGTCAAATATAGGCCGATTTTTTCTATTTCAACCCCATTTATCGTAATGAGACGAATCCATTGGCTTAGTGGTACGTCTTTTGAACACATGTAGGCCTTAGATTTCTCCTTAGCCCGCCTGAAACACACCATGCTTTGCATGCATTTCTATGGGTGAAGGAAAATTCATGCGCCGTGATGACGTCACGGTAAAGGAATTCTGAAGCTCGTGAACGGGGGCTGTGCTAGAGCATTATGGACGTATTATATTGCATATTGTTGACATCAACCCTTGCCGGCTGAGGGGTAGGGCTTGGTGCCCCCTCCCCCCCCCCCCCCCCACCAAGCCCTACCCCCCAGGGTGAATTTCAGGGAGAGATTTCGTCTGGAGCGAGCTGTAGTGGAGAAAATCCTCCACTTCATCGGTGACGATCTACAGCACGACACCTAGAGAAACAACGCCCTCACTCCCAAACAACAACTCCTCCTGACACTACGGTGGGTGCAATAGCATTGTCCTGCTTTTTAACACTTAAGGTAATAGTGGCTGCCAGATGGCAAGTGATGCAATGTGTGCTAGTAGTAACTTTTGTTAAGACAACAGTAAACAGCATTTGTGCCAACAATCAACATGCATCTGAAGGTATATTGTGTTTTCTCAACAAGTTCAGCCATGGCCTTGATTACACAATTGCAAAATAAATCTCAGGACATGAGACAAGGGACATTATGTAATTTCTGTAGGAAATGGCCTTGTGAGCAAGGTAATTTTTTCATTACTAATCCTATTGGAACCCATCCGTCTTTTTCAACTTCCTGGCAACAGGAAGTTTCTACCACGTAGGTAGTGGGTGATGCGCACGGCCCAAGCAAAGCTACGGTGTACCGCGCAGTGCACAGGGTCGTGGGAGCGATTGTGAATCGCTTGATGGGACTCATAGCTTTCCCCAACACACATGAGGCTACCCGTGCCCTCCAGGCACAGTTCCATGGGAAAGCAAGGCTGCCAGATGTCATTGGTAAGTCCAGCAGTGGTAACAGGAGCACAACGTTTTAAAAGGAAGGTGCCATGTCCCAGTGCTGGATTCAGATAAATGAGATTTAGTGTTAAGTTTTTGTCAAAGATCATGCTATGCATGCTTTCATCGTAAAGACATTGAAGCCTACAAAAACTTACATAAAACCATTGCATATTTCAACAAAGCCAACAAGGAAAGAAGCTTCATGGTTTTATGAAGCTGATTGTCCTAACATACAGCATTGTAATTGAGATAACCGTGTATGTGCGTGTGTGTGCGTGTGTGTGTGGTGTGTGATCTACAGGCTGCATCGATGGCTACCACATCGATCTGCGGGTTTCCACTGACGTAGAGAACGCCTACATCAACCGGCACCAGAGGACGTCATTAAATGTCATGGCCTGGGCCCTGGATTGACCTGCGCCAAAAGCTAAGGAAAAGGCACGGAGAAGCGGAGGACCCCCGGATCTCGGGGAAAAGGCGAGACAAATGCAGCAAAACAAAGGAGAAAACATCCGAATTACGCCGAACGACTTCGCTCTGCCGCTGCCACCACCGACATTGACCATGACACTGACAGCTTGGAAGCCCAGAAGTCCAATTATTAGGAAAAAAACTGTAGGACTCTGGGCGAAATTGAAGGGAAAGTGAGGTAGCGAAGTTCGGGGAAAAGATGAGTGAGGGTAGAAGCAGCTGCGTCTGCGTGTCATTTTTCTCTTTTGCCGCGATTGTTTGTCGAAGGCGGCGGCCGCCCCGCCGCCAGTCGCAACGGTTTATGCCTGTGAGGTGATATCGTCGGTAAGCAATGCGAAGCGGACGGAAATCGTCATGAATATTTATTTCTAATTTGCTTATTCGACGAACATGTAAATTATAAGCGATTTTAGCGTGACGATACCGTACCGGGATTTGCCGCAAATGCCAAAGTGGTCATTTGTTAGTAGCCTACTGGCTTTCCAAATTCTGGTTTAGGTGGACTTTTCAAGATTTTTTTCTGATTTACTGTGGACATTCTGTTTTGGTGGACCCAAAAAGTCCACGTAAAAATAAACGCACAGAACACCTTTTAGCTGGACGTAAACGTATCCGAAAGAACAAGTCTGTTTCGGTGGACTCAAAAATTGTCCACCTTAGGCGCCATCTATCTCTAAACTAAAAAATTTGATGGTTCGTAGTTCCAATATCTGCCACAGACGGCGCCACCATCGGCTGGCTCTGTGTTGAAGCTCGGAAACGCACGCCTTGATCAGCGCGGGCTAGCGCGGGCATGCAGCAAAAACGTAACATGATATGATTTATAGTGTGGTCTGTGGAATGTGAAGCGATCAAAATAGACGTTTGTTTTATTTTTAAAAAAGTGTAAAAATAAATTAATTATATTATGTATCTTAGAAACCCGTGAATTAGAGTATGATGAAGTTTTGTGTAGTTGCAACAACACTGTTTTTTGTTGCGGTGTTATCGGCGCGGCACGGCTCACCACGTGGCGGTGTCAGTGTTGGGATTTGGAAGAGATAAAGCTTTGGGTGGTACTAATTTGTGTTTTTTTTTGTGCTGGGAGCTTTTTGAAGTCTGTGAGGTAAGTGGAAATTATTTGTAGACATCTATTTGTTGGATACTGGTATTGCAGAGTACCGATTTGCCATGCGATTGTTTGGGCCGGACTTGCAGGCGTCACACTTCAACTTCTTTTTGCAACCAAGGAGCGGGGCCGGATGGTCACTATACCCAGAGATGCTTTCTAATCAAACCAAACCAAAATAGACCTAACCAAACCTAACCAAACCTGACCTAACCAGTACAACCTACAACCTAAAACCTACAACCTAAAACCTACAACCTAAAACCTACAACCTAAAACCTAAAACCTACCACCTAAAACCTACAACCTACAACCTAACCTACAGCACCTCTCCTTGGTTGCTAAAAGAAGTGTTACGCCTGCTTTACGACTACCCTTGAAATGTGGCTAGCCGCTACTTGCTATTTCTTTACAAGATCTCAGGCCTCGGGGTCAATTAATGATGTAGGTACTCTGGCTCCGGATCAATTCAACAAAATGCAGGGCTGCCCTACATTGTGCACTAACCTGTTTGAAGTATGTACTTGTGTTCAGGATCCCAATCTGAATCCAGTTTAGGGGAAAACACCATGTTTATAAGTGTAGGTTTTGGGCAGTGGCGCCGGGCGCGGGAACCGGGGGCTAGCGGGGGCTGAGCCCTTCTAACTTTACCCCTAATTTGGGGAGGACAAGCTGCCCTAATAGTTCCTGGTCTCATGAAAAGTTGTGGGGCACTGCTCCCACGGCCCCAGAGTTGTGGGGGCAAGCTTCCCTCACTGCCCCCTCCCCCGGTTCCTGTGCCTCTGTATGAATCTATGAAATTATGTTGGTAGATTTCCGATTTTGATTCCTCCAGCTGTGAGGAGGGGGGGGGGCTCAAATACATAATGAGCCCCCCAGCCGAAAAGTTGGAGGGGCTCAGCCCCCGCTAGCCCCCCCGGTTCCCGCGCCTAACTAGGTCATTCAAAGACATTTTATGGTCATGACCTCTTAGTGTATTGTCAATAGGCCAAAGCTTGAAGAGTCTCTCAATCCCAAATGGTTTTCAGCTCAGTTTTAGCATTTTGTTATCTTATGGGTCACCTTTAATGAAATTAAGACCCACTTTGGCCTTATGACCTTAACTTATGGGTGGGTCCCCCAATGACCTACCGTTATGTCCATTTTGTATATCTCAGAATTTGTATATCTATGACCTGAGGTAAGGTCAGGTCAGATTCATTATCTTTACATTACAAGCCTATGGATAAATTTGAAATGCGCACCGCTTTGTGGAAACGAGTCAAAACCACTCAAGTCTTTCAGGATTTTGACATATTGAATCATCTATGACGATCCAGGTATCATTTACTGACAGAGACAGGAAAAGGTCATCTGAGTTCGTGCGAGGTCATCAATAGTTGCTTGTCAATAAACCATGATAAATTGGCGCTAAAGACATGTAAGTGGCACCAAACTGCTTGCCTTGCCAAGTCACGCGTCGTTTGCTATACAACGTGACGTATCAACCCCGCCCCTATTGGGTCATGACCTCTCCCCCACCAGAGGTCAAGTTTTAAATTGGCCTTAATGAAGGTCATCAAGTATTTGTTTCGAATCGCCTCGACAAGAGAAGCACAATGGTGTCAATTTTATGTCTTTATTCAAAAGTTTTATCTACTATACTTAGGTTACTATTTCAATAACATTTTATTTTTATGACCTCTGGTGACCTCAATATTGACCTGACGCATTTTTATTTAAAAGTTGTAGCTCTTTGACCGACCTATCAAACGCCGTTTGCTGCGTCGATGCGTGGTTTTCGAGAAATAACGGGGGGCTGATAAGCCTGCCCTGCCTGCCCGGAATCTTACCTTTCAGAGCCCGCCCGGAATATGGTTTAAGGGTGTATACTGTATACAGCGGTGTCCTTTGCCCAGTTTTTTTTATTTTTTAAGTTGCCCAACATGCCGTACTCAACCATACAACTGACCTTTTAGCATCATTTGTGTATAACACTGCAAATTGCACACATCTCAGCCATTTAAATGTAGCGATTGAAGGCATAATGCCAGTTGCCTCATAAAATATAATGGTACCTATATACCTAAGTGTGTTGTTGAGAAGGTCAACAATGTAAGGTTTTCAAGTGAGGAGTAAAGGCCAGCTCTAGAGTGCATTGTACTAGGAACCGTTAATACCTTGTTTGAAAGTCTATTTTTCTTGACCTTTTAATTCAATTCGTTGTTGGAAAATTGCAGTGGCAACAAAAATTATGAGTCACCTGCTGCATGCCCGTTGGCCATACAGATTGTCTTCTTTCTGCCTTAGTTACTAAAAGCGGCTAAAGAAAGATAAATGCTTACAGAAAAATCTCACCATACAGGCTTTCTTTCCAGGTGACTTGTTAGCTATCTTACATGCAGGCTTTCTTTTCAGGTAGCTTGGATGTTCAGGCCACTTTGATAGTCCAAGATGCTGTCTGGTACTAATGTACGCAAGGTAAGATGTGGGGTCATCCAATCTGTTTTATGTGTCTGCATTTAACAATCTCCATATCCAAATAAATAAAGTAATATTTATTTCGAAAGAACCATTCTGTATTGAGTTACTTCTGCCGTGCCTGTGAATCGTGAGAGGCAGTTTCACTGCCTCAAAAGTTAGAAATATGTCCTTAAATTAAAGTGGGAATGGGGAAGTAGGGTTAACCATCATTCTCCTTCGTTGCGCGTATAAAAGACCCATTGTTCTTTGAGCTGTTAATTATTTCCCTTCCCTTTCGAGACGTATGTGAAGGACAGAAAATTGATTTTTAAATTCAAGGTGATGCGAGTAGATCATCACAGGGTAACCAACACTAACAAACTAACTAACACAGGATAGTAAAACTAACTTTTGTTGAGAGGAACGGCCGAAAACGTAGGCAAAGTTTGGCGGCGCTACGCACGGTAATTTTCCGCTCAGCTCAGAAAAAATACGGGTTGGCCGTCCAGACTGGTCCAGACGCCCCTTCCCGGCTCGGCGCGGATTAGTGGGAGTGAATGAGTGAGTGAGTGAGTGAGTGAGTTACATTAACCCGCGCCCGGCTGGGGGTCCTGGATTTCCACGCCCTGCTGGGGGGGGGGGGGTGTTTGAACACCCCTCCCCTTCTAACTCGGCTCCTGGGCCACGTAGCGATACGCGGAAGGCGGCGTTCGAAAGAGCGTCAAAAATAATGACGAAATCACTTACGGTCAATTTTTTGGTCAAGGTCAAAGGTCAGGTCACCAGAGGTCATTGAAGGCAAAATTTCGCCGATTTCCAGGTCGAATGTCGACAATTTCCAAGAAGCCAACGCATAACTCGGGAACCAATAGAGCTACAGCGCCGCGGAAAAGCGCATTCGATAGCCCTATTAACGCCCTTTCTGAGTAATTCTCTCAGATTTGACCTAACGTCAACGGTTTTGCCTGCAGGGGGCAAAAACTGCAAAAATAGCCGATTTTTTCGGAAACAGTTTTTCTGCAATAACTTTTGACCCAAGCCTTGTACGAGCTTACTTTTACCGGCATCGTGTTCCTCTCGTCAAGACGCATCGAATGAACTATAACTTGACCTTGAAAGGTCAACTTGAAAATTTGACCTCAGGTCAAGGTCATGACCTGACCGGAAAGGGTCATGTTGCATATCAGTCGATCCGTATCGTCGAGCTGAACACATCTAAGGCGTTTTCATCGCTCTAGCATGCCTCTATCAAAAGTTATTTGCGAAAAACTGTTAGATACCATTCGTGACCTAAGATGACCTCAGGGCATAAACAGGGGTCACGGACACCATTTTCATGTTCAGTGTGTCTAAACCTACTTGTAATTCAGTGTTTGGGAGTGTTTATAATGTCTTTCGTCCAAAAGAGGCGCATTTCAATTTTCTCCCATTGACTTATAATGGGGAGGTCGCAAAATTGACCTGACCTTAGGTCATCGATATCAAAATTCTGAGATATACATTTTGTACATGCTATTGCTCTTAGCAATCGCTGAAAGTTTCAAAGCGATCGGTCACTCGGTGTAGCTATGACAGACATTGAAACTTTATGAGGTGAGGTCACTTCAAGTGACCTGGTGACCTGACCTTGAATGACCTTGGTCTGAAATTTTCACAACATGTGTAGAATTGATGTGTGATAAGGCGTACAAAAAACGAGCGCCGTTTTTGAGATATTTGCGAAAAACCATAAGGGGGGTGTTCAAACACCCCCCCCCCCCCCAGCAGGGCGCAGGTTAAGGGGGCGCATGTAAATGAATTAATCATTCCTTTCTACCCGAATTATGAATGATGAATTGCGTGTTACCATGATAACCCTTCTATTTTTTTTTTAAATCATGGTGTGTCAATTGAAGTGAGGTAATATTTCTTTTTTTTTTTAGAAGCGACCAGCAGCTGTTACTTCTGGACGAAGGAGGAAAGTGGCGAAAACTGTTCAGGTAAGTGTTCGTTCAGTATCCATATGCGAAAGACATTATTCATATTTCGTAAGCACCACAATTGTTTCTCATTTTGTTAATGCTTAGCTAGCAGACAATTTCATGAAGGTTTACTGTGGGTCAAACCTGGTTTGCTGATACAACTTTTACTGAGGGCATTATTAAAGGGATAAGTCCCGCGGAAGCAGCCAGGTAGCGCCTACACAATATGCAATGGCGCCTCACTTGCACCTACTTGTGTGTCTGGTCGGGACTATCTCTTGTGGTATTAATTTAAAGAGACGCTAAAATTGTATTGAACGTAATGTTTAATTTCTCCTGCGTACTTGCTCTTAATCGGTTATAATCTAAGCAATTAGTAATGAGCCAAGTTACAGATAAAACGGCCAAGTTATGATTGATGGCCAAATGTTGCCTTGAGCAAAATAAGGCAAAATGTTTCATCAACAATTACGATTTAATTTCGGATTTTGAAAGATTAGTTTTTAACTTCTCTTTTATATAGCTGATATCGATAAGACGACGCGCCACTATTACCTATCATCAGCCTCTTTTTGCAGGCTGAACACTAAAGCTAACAGTGCATTAGGAACACGTGGAGGGGGGGGGGGCGAACTTACCAATTAGTTAAGCTAAATTGAAGAAAAGGTAATTGACGGAATCGATTTTTTCAGGATCTCTATTTTGTGGAAAGAATATTAGCCCACCAGTGGAAAGACGGCAACATGATGTACCTCATCAAGTGGCAAGGTTTCAGGTAAGCGTTGGAGAGTGGGGATAACTGGGACGCGGGAGAAGTGGGACACCTTCAATATCTTAGTGACCGATTGGACAAACAATTTTGTTTTTGCATATTTTCTCATGAATTCCGTTGGTGTGCAGACTTCATCGTATCATGTACTTGTATCTATTCCCGGGAATGCGGTGGGACCGCTGGCTCTTGAGATAAAGGGACCAGGCCTTCTGGTTCTTTCCATGGTTGTTCAAAGTGGGCGTTTGGTTGCGTCATCCTGCTGGAATGTCCTGGTGGTTATCGCAGTAATAGCATGGTCTTTCTTGGCCCCTGTTTCAACATATGCAGTATATTGTGTCGATGCGGGTAGCCTCGACACTTTGTGTGCACTAGGGTTAAAAAAGAAAACGATTCATTGATCGGTCTGATGGCTAGGGTCATTCATTCCTTGGTTTGGGAATCACCGAATAGGCCTCTGAACCCGTTGGAAACGTCATTGTGAAAAGGACATTGATATGCTTTTACGTTAAATCAGTTATTTTTATTGATTAGGTTCCTTTTAAACTACAGAAACTGCATTCTGCCTAACCAGTAGTGAATAAAAGACATTCTTTAGCATGTTAACTGGTCGAAATTTATGGGTTTAGAATTGAAATAATTCACTCACATTATTTTATTTCACGCACACACTCGCGACATAATTCAACTACCTAAGGGCGACGCCTTGTTTGGGTGTCGCGGGCCGAAGGTTGTGTTTTGCATTTGTGCTAGGGGTCTTGCCATGGAGGATTCCATTGAAAACCTGAGGATGACGGAATCTTTCCCCACTCGCAGGGAATGGGGCTAAAGATCCCGAGATACCGGTGACATGGAACATTTACGGTGCGACGCCGCGAGAAAGAAGCCATCTAGCTTCCAAAGATAATCCACTTCTACTTGATTGTTTTTTTTTGTTTTTTTGTTAAGCTGGCCTTCTGACATCCTTTCCTTTTCCAAAGGATGCCTACGTGGGAGCCAGCGCAGAACCTGAATCCTGTGATCCTTCAAAAGTACCACGGTAAGAGCCATACATTATGCATTCCAGTTAGCTAAACAAATCTACGGCTTGTGTTTTTTATTGGGTTTAGGTGCATGCAATTGTGACTTAAAAGAGCGTTTAATTTTTCAGTCGTTGCTTGTTTTGTTGTGCTTTATCCCATGTTTGGTTTTTGATGGACTCCATCCTTTATAAGAGCTTTCTACATCAATTTATGATGCGATTTTGTTTTCTTGAACGCTGCGAAAGTCAGTGGGTGGTTTCCCCAGGGCGTGTGACTGGTCTGCCCATTGCGTGTCATATGAGCCAAATGATGTGGCAGTCGGGTGCCCCTAAAACCAAAATCATTAATTGCCGTGTGTGTACTGTGTACCTATATTTGTGCCTTGTGATTGTGTATGTACAAGGGGGGTGTTTGAACACCCCTCCCCCCTGTGGTTTTTCGCGAATATCGCCGCCGTTTTTGGCACACCTTATCATACATCAATTCTACACATGTAAAAATTTCAGACCAAGGTCGTTCAAGGTCAGGTCACCAAATCACTTGAAGTGACCTCACCTCATAAAAAGTTTCAATGTCTGCCACAGCTACACCGAGTGACCCATCGCTTTGAAACTTTCAGCGATTCCTAAGATCAGTAGTATGTATAAAATGTATATCTCGGAATTTTGATATCGGTGACCTAAGGTCAGGTCAATTTTGCGACCCTCCCCATCATAAGTCAATGGGAGAAAATTGAAAGGCGCCTCTTTTGGACGAAAGCCATTATAAACACTACCGAACACTGAATTACAAGGAACTTAGACACACTGAGCATTAAAATGGTATCCATGACCCCTGTTTATGCCCTTGAGGTCATCTCAGGTCACGAATGGTATCTAACAGTTTTTCGCGAATAACTTTTGATAGAAGCATGATAGGGCGATGAAAACGCCTTAGATGTGTTCAGCTCGACGATACGGATCGACTGATATGCAACATGACCCTTTCCGGTCAGGTCTGACCTTGACCTGAGGTCAATTTTCAAGTTGACCTTCCAAGGTCAAATTATGTTCTTCGATGCGCTTGACGAGAGGAACACGATGCCGTAAAAGTAACTAGTGCAAAGCTTGGGTCAAAAGTTATTACAGAAAACTGTTTCCGAAAAAATAGGCTATTTTGGCAGTTTTTGCCCCCTGCAGGCAAAACCGTTGACGCTAGGTCAAATCTGAGAGAATTACTCAGAAATGGCCTAATAGGGCTATCGATGCGCTTTTCCGCGGCGCTCTATTGCTTCCCGAGTTATGCTTGGCATTTTGGAATTGTCGACATTCGACCTGAAAATCGGCGAAATTTTGACTTCAATGACCTCTGGTGACCTGACCTTTGACCTACCTTTGACCTGACCAAAAAGTGACTGAAGTGATTTTCTCATTATTTTTGGCGCGCTTTCGAACGCCGCCTTCCGCGTATCACTACGTGGTCCAGGAGCCGAGTTAGAATGGGGGGTGTTCAACCCCCCCCCCCCAGCAGGGGCGTAGAAATCCGGATCCCCGGCGGGGCGCTGGTTAAAGGAGCTAGGCGCGGATACGGATTTTCCTTAGGAAGACACGATTTCCAAGGGGGGGCTTGACCTTCAGGGGAGGGCTTGACCTCCAGAGGTCCGGGGGCTTGACCTCCAGAGGTTGGGGGTGGGGGGCTTGACTCCCGGTTAGGGCAGTGGACGGAATTCAGGGGACGTGATCGACATCTGTTTTTGTCTAGGCCAGGGCGTCCAGGGGACCTGTCACCTGTGCTCGTGCCAGGGACCCGTTTTTTCCATTGGGACCAACAGTGAGGGACCACGTGAAGGGGGTCCTTGATATACCAAGGACCCGTATTTCTAGGAGTTGTAGTGCTCAGAGGACCTGCAGGGAGGTTAGGGGTCCCGGATGACCGGGCGCCTGGCTTCTGGGCCATGTGCTGCTAGAGCCTGGGCTGAAAGGGGTCCTAGCTACATGGGGCCCACCCTTCTGGTTACCCGACTGGGTCCTTTCGGGGAGCCGGCCAATCAGGGGACCCGTGCCGTTGAGTGCCCAAGTAAACCAGAGACCCACCCGTCTTCGGGGAGGGGCTTTGACCTTCAAAGGCCTGTTGCGGGACTAGGCCTGCAGTGGCTCGTTCTTCCAGGGACCCGGCAGCCAGAATGGTCTACATATGTTTATTACACCTGTTTGCATTGCCTTTGACAGATCTGGATACTACAGTATCAGTTTCGGTAAAAGTCTTCATCGTGACTATACCTCCATAACCATGTCGCCTCCTATATGCATAATGGTTAAACGTTAAATCGGTCAATGTAAAGGTATAGTAAAGGAATCGACCTGTTCGCTGGGGCCCGTCCTCGAAGGCCTGTGCTGCCGGCGTTGTCGGGAGCCCTGGTGCCAGGTGCCCGATAGGCGAGAGCCAAGTGCCAAGCGCTTCTGGGGTACCGGGCCTTCGGGGGCTCGTCGTCTGTGATACCCGGGGCACGGACTGTTAAGGATCCTAGCGCCGGGGGGATCAGTAATCCATAGGGGGACCAGCCTCATTACGTAGGGCCAGCCGGTCAGGATCAGGGCCCGCGTCCTGCTAGTGCCCGTCCTGTTAGGGTCCCGTGCCAGAATTTGCATGAGCCATCACCCTACCCTTTTGGATGTTAAAGCGGGCGTAGCCGGAATGGCAGCCACTACCTACTGCATCCTAGTGACGTCACTGGAGCATTCAGCTTTAAAACCCGCGCCCTGGTGGGGTCTGTTTATAACGCGACCTGGTTGGGGGGTGGGGGGAACTATTCCCCCCTCGTATCTCCGAAACTACTGGACGGATCCGCAAAACCAAACGGCGTTCGAAAGGCCTGTCAATTGTCTACGGAAATCAAATTTCATTGACCTCGGGGTCCCGATGACGTCCACAGGTCAGGTCAAAGATGAAATGTTGTCACCGTTCACGGGTCTCTAGGGAATGCGCTATAACCCCCAAGGAAAACGCATTTTGTCGA